TCCAAAAATTCTGAAAATATTTTTGGATGTCTTACAATAAGTTTATTTTAGATCTGGAAAGTTTCAGTACCAAATTCATCCTGGAAAATTCTGAAAAATTTGACAAGAACCAGTGTTCAAGTCTGTTGAACAATCTTAAATGATGGATAAGATGGATCAAATGAAGTCTGATTTGTCTGAAATTTAAAATTCATATTTTTCTTAGGATGAGAAAAGTACTTGTACAAATTATATACCAAATTTCTTCGTTTTCATTTTCTGGATTTTTTTGTGCCTTTTTCTTTTTTTTATTTTTCTTTTATTTTATATAAAAAAATAAACTAAAAATAAGGAATTGAAACTAAACTAAAATAAATTGAAAAGAACCTGAAAACGATGAACTTGTCTCAACTAGCTCCGTTGGGGTAGCTTGGTGTTGTATGATTAAAAGAACAATCAAAAGTTCTTGATTCTCTCCAAGAATAATCCCAAATATGATAAAAATTGATAAAGAAATAGAAGAGAAGAATGGTTGTTTCACTTCGTTGAGGAATCAAACTTAGAAAGTTATAGACTCGATCAATGAATGAAGGATGTATGAGCAAGAAAGGTAATTGGATTAGGGATTTTATTTGCTGATATTAAGACAAGAATAATAGTTTAATACAATTCTAATGAAATAAAGACAAAAGGAAAAAAAGGGTGATGAAATAAACTAAAAGACAAAACATGTTGTAAAGGAATTAAACTTATCTTCCCTTATAATCGGCGACAAGGTGCTGTTGTGAATGGATTTTGATGGATGAATACTCATTGGAAAGATAACGAGATAAGGTTTGCAACGAAGAAGACATATCATAATTCTGACGGTCAGATATTCGTAAAAACAGATGTGAAAATTTACCTCCAATAGGTATATAGCTTAACGAAAACCTATGGCTTTGGTAATGATGGTGACGTGATAATGGATTTATGAAGATGGAATATAGATTGACATGTTCTATCGAACCCTCCTAGTCACAATAAAAAGGCAAACTCGGTAATATGACTCTAACCATCCCACTTAATCACAACAAGAAGGTAAACTGGAGTGTGAAGATCTCTCTCTCAATAACTAGTAAGAACTTAAAGGACAAGATGCTTCGAAGCCACAAGAAAATCAGCTCTTACAAAAATGTACTCATATTGTATTGTTATTCAAAGAAAAGATTATGTGAAACAATGAGGGGGAACCTCCTTTATATAGGTTAGGAGGAGTCATTGTAATAGTATAAGTATGTAACAAAAATAATAATAAAAACATGTCCTTAAAGCACTAGGATGGACGACATGATTGTTGGTCGTTGATGACTTGCTTGATCCAATGGTTGTGATAAAATCAAGGCTTTTGAATGCATGATGAAACCTCTAGCTTGATGAACGATCTGGATGAGTTTTCTAGAAGGTGATGGGGGCGGCAATGACTTGTAGATCAAGGAGGGGTCCGCCATGTTGATTTGGGGTTGAAATAATGGGCTTTTTTGGGTTTTATCATTACAAACAATTACATTCTTGGGGCCTGATCCTAATAAAACAAAGAAAACAACTTAAATAATTAAAATCTACTGAAGAAAGTGATATATGCTTCATATTTTAGAAATGAGTACTTTATACAAAAGTTTTAGTAATTTAAGGGGGTTTGAAATTAATTTCAGGACCATCTTCATGAATCTTGCAATTTGGTCCTGGGTTATTTTCAACTTGAGTTATAGAGGCCCATGTAGTAGGGAAAGGATGAATGGATTTCCTTCCTTAAATTCTTTCGTCTCCATGTGGTCTTGGATTCCTTTACTAATGAAAACCTAGATTGTAGTATGAAGATTGTCTTGTAATCGGGCTTTGTGGTAGAATTAGCCCATCATATTTGGAGAGGTGGCGTGTGGTGCACGTATCAAGACATGTGCTGAAGGTTTGCCTTAGACCTATTGAGATAGAAAACATTGTAGTTATGGCCAAAGCACTAATCACCGTCACAACAGAGGTGAAGAAGCATGTGGGCACGATTGTTAAATAAAAGTTGATTATTCTATAATACCAGATAGTTATGTTGAACTATCCATATTCTAGAATCCGTACGGATGATCAAACCATTTGTGTGAAGGGACAACTGGACATTTTGGAATCCTATATAAGGAAGATATTTATACCCAAGAGAGAGAGCTTTTCACCATTCTCCTTCCTTACTTGATCATGAGTCCCGATCGATGTTCCAACAGCACCTGAGCCATGGCCATGGCGTACTAAAAACCTCCCCCAGAGCACCCTTGAGGATCACCTGAACCGCCATAGATTGTGGGAACAATTGTGGAGCATTGATTGATCTAGCCAAGAGTATCGTCAAGCAAGTACATAGGAATATGGATTTTTTTTTATGCTTCTATTTGAACTCTCCTTATTTTGGATATTTTGATTACTAATGTTTGTAGTTTTGATTGGACGAAAGTTAGCCTTGAATACTCATTAGATTTTGCAATATATTAAGTCTTTTTTTATTTTCTTTATATCTATTGAATCTAAGTAGTGATGCTTGCGAAAGTAATGTTGCTAATAGCTTCGAACACATCTGTGCTGGCGGAAGTCACTTTAGTCACAACAGAAGTTAGGCAGGATTGTGGGCGCATTACTTGTGGTGTATAGCCCTGAAGGGAATGATGCTTGGGTAATGAGCTTCGATAGATGCAAACAGTTGTTATGCTTAGTATATTTGTTGTGCCTCATATCTTTAGTATCAAAATACATTTTCTAGTTCATCATGTGTCATGGTTTGGTTGATTTGATGAGTGTTCCACTTATATCTATTGATATTCTTTTTTCTTTTTTTTTCTTTTTTCATTGTCATCACATTATTCGCATTCACGAAAAACTTGTACAAATCTCAATCTTTCCTTTTGTTTCCTCAGAGTTAGAACTAACAATGATAAAATACCATTAGCTTATTCCTTGTGGGTTCGACATCCTTAGCTGAAAGGTTATCTCTATTCTACAATCGGTGGGTGTACGCTTGCACCAATTACGTTCACATATCGGTCAATCAAGTTTTGGCATCGTTGTTAAGGAACGGCTAGTTAATTTTTTATTGTTGTTATTTCTTTTACTCTGTTTGTTTAGCATTATTTGTTATCTACAACATTTTATTTTGTTATTTGTTTATCATAGTTACAACTATTACGGTTACAATGTATGACCAGAAGTAACCTAGGTTATGCTCCAGATTTTGATCCTGAGTCTCAAGGAATGATTCACAATTTTGTTGTTCTGGTCTTAGATGACCTACAACCTGGGGTGGTGTGACCGGCCATCCAGTCAGGCAATTTCAAACTTAGACCTTTCATGTTTTAGATGCTCAGCTTAAATGGGCAATACATTGGTCTACCACATGAGGATACTAGGGAGCACATTAAATCATTCCTTTTTATTTGTACTTAATTTTCAAAAAAGGGTGTTCATGATGATGCCCTAAAGATGTTTTTCTGTATTCTTTGCAATGTAGGACAATGACATGGTTCTTAAGCCTACCGACTGGATCTATCACGTCGCGGAACGAGTTGGCCATACAGTTTGTGCTCAGGTTTAACCGCCCATAAGGAATGCCATGCTATGGAATGACATCACATCCTTTCAACAGTCTGATGATGAGAACTTCCATACTACATGGGAACATTTTAGGCATTGTTGTGTGGATTTCCTATATATAGTAATTAATAAGTAAGAGATCTTCTATAATGGGTTAAATGACCGGACAAGGAACATTGTGGATGCATTTGCCAATGGACCACTGTTGGATTGCACTTACGATTAAGTTATTGATATGCTGGAGCGTCTATCTCAGAATAACTACCAATACCCTATGTCTAGGGCGGCCACAACTAGAAGCACTCCAGGTGTTCTTGAGCTGGACACCATGTCAGCTCTTGGTACTCAGGTCTCTAAACTTACGAATCTTATCAAGAATATGCAAGGCGCTTCTGTGAGAGAAAATTTTTAGACAGCTAAGAAGATTGATACTCTTATTATTAGTTACGAAATATGTGGTGACAACCATAGTTTTAAGGATTCTCCCCAACATATGGAGAATGCCTGCTTTGTCAAGGACCTGAGAGGAAATGCTTCAAGTAACTACTTTGGGAACCAATCTATCAACCATAATCAGCCTACTTAGGGAAATCAAGCCCCTATTCAACAAACCATGCCTATCGATATGGGGGAAATCCTTTAAGCAGCTTTGTATAGAACCCAAATAGTTACAATCAGCCACGACAATAGTTTTTGCAGCACTATACTTTGAAATCCTACAGTTGACGACCAACACAATCACAACCGACCTATCAAAACAAAACATAGTAACGAATGCAAGGACAATCTCATCAGCTCCAACATTCTGACGTAGCCACGTCTAGTCAATCCAATTACTCACAACCCTCCAGTTTAGACCCTTTAGCCTCATTTAGAAGCTTTAATGATGAAGCACATCACTCAGGCCGAGGTAATCATTCAAGGAAATTCTTATTCTTTTCGTTCCTTGGAGAACCAATTTGCTCAACTTGCTTCTTCTATGAACATCAAACATCTGGTTAACTTGCCTAGTGATACTTAGAAGCCCAACGTAAAGGAGCAATGTAATGCAGTTAAATTGAGAAGTGGCGGGAGAGTTAGAACACCTGACACACCGAGTGATCCTAAGCCTGAAGTAACCAATGATGAGGAACCAAGCAAGGAGAGTGAGGAAGTGATTAAGGAGGCTGAAGTTCCAAAAAATCATCACAGATTATCACATTGATGCCCAACATAGTGAAATCTCATATATTAGTGCCTAGATTGTCGACGCCTTCTAGTTCTACTATCAAAATTCCTTCTCCTCAGCATTTTGCCGATGAAGAACATGATAAGGAGCGTCAGAAATTCCATTATCTATTGTGGTATATTCAAGTGCAAATACTTCTCATTGATGTAATTATTCAGATTTCCAATTGTGGGATATATATATGACTGAGTTATTAGCCAAAAAGAATAAGCTTAACGGGATTGAGACTATTGTGCTCAAAGAGAAATGTAGTGCTATCGTGACCAATCTACCGCCTAAATTGAAGGATCCAGGGAGTTTCACCAACCCATGCAATGTTGAAGATTTTTATGTGGGAAGAGCTCTCACCGACCTTGGTGCAAGCATAAATCTGACGCCCTTGTCCATTGTTAAGCAGCTTAGGTTGAATGGCATGAAGTATATTGTGGTGACATTGTAGTTGACTAACAAATCTTTGAGTTATCTATTTGGGGAAATCAAGTATGTGATTGTACGTGTGAGTAAATTTTCATTCCCAACTGACTTTATTATCCTGTATTCTGAGGTTGACAAAGATATACCTATAATCCAAGGACGACCATTCTTAGCCACCAGCAAGATGATTATTGATGTATCTTGAGGAGAAGTAACTATAAGATTTAATGGTGAAGACATTACTTTCAGTGTTATGGGATACAACTCTTTTAAGGTGGTTATGAATGTTATACCACAGAAATCCTTTAGGATATTCAGTGCAGTGACATTAAGGTCCTGGATGATAGAAAGAGGTGGGCACATCACTCAAAGAAGAATGAAGTGTTTGTGGAACCAACGATGGAGGATGTAAAGCGTTTCAGTATTGATGCAACAATGAAGAATAAAAATGTTGGCAGAGTAGCCAGCATATGGTGGCAAGTTTAACCAACCATACAGGTCGAATGAAACACAACACATTAATTGATGAATTGGTTGGTGGAGTATATCGACCTCTTGAATGGAGGATTGCCAAGAAAGAAAACATCATGGTTACCCTAACTTTTTTTTTCATTTATATCAATTTTTTAAGTCTTCATTTTTCTTCATTCTCCTATGTTACTTTATCTCATTTCTTCATTTCTTTTTCAAGAGGCATTCAATGTCACCTAAATTCTATATGGGTGAATCCATTGCAAATGTTTCATACTGAAGAGACACGAAGCAAGGGTAAGGAAGTCTTTTTGAATCTTTTATCCATATTCACATGTTTCCTATTGTCTAGCATTAAATACCCTTTTTATTTTTATTTGCCATAACCGTCACTTTCTCTTTCTTTTTCCCTCTCAAACGTCTTCCTTAATATTCCCCGCCATTGTTGTTTGCTCAAAACTTCGAAAACTACTATTTTTCTTCATTTTTTCTTCTCAATTTCATTTTTTTCTTCTTCACTTTAATATCTCTACAACAAGTACAATGCCTTAAACTCTCAGTGAAAACAAGCAGATTATTCTCCCTAGAAGTTCCTTTCGTTCTCCTTCTCCGGTAACTCAAATGCTTTCTACACCAGTCACTACATCGAATCTATTCCAAATGGAGCAAGCTCACCTTTGTTAATAATTGAGGATGATAAAAGGACAACCACTACTGGACCAAGGACTTGACTTGTCCTCTAATGAAGTTTTGGGAGCCGTCGTCAGTCAGTGCATCTCAGCCCTCCACTCGGAAGAGCTTTTTTCCCACTCAGGGGACTAATCTATTCCAATGGTAAGCTAGTTATATTACAACCTCTATACTACTAATTTGGAGTATATTTTTGTTAGGAAAGTCTTCATACAATAGGCTGCTAACAACATCAAGAACTACCTTGGAATCATGGTGGACACAGACGAACACTCTAACAGGTGCACAAATATCACCCTCATCAATCATAGCGAAATGTTGTTTGACTTATTTATGGTGGTGCCTCATGGGATGGTACTTTAATTAAATATTATTATATGGACTATAAGTTTTTAACCCTTCAAAGCACGTTATGGTTCCATTTTATTAACTATCGTATAAAACCCTCCCTCCACAGCACCATGGTTTCTTTATATTGTATGTTCTCAATTCATTCAATTTTCAAGGGTAAAACAATTTATACCGGAACAATTATTCGTGATGAAATTGCTAAATGCATCGACTGAAAAAATGGTGTCTTAGGGTTCCCTTCATTAATCATGTTGTTATGTGAGAAGTAGGGTATTTCTCTTTAAAAAGGTGAAAAGATAACTCCCAATAAGGGAGTGTTCAACACAGCTTCGCTCAACTGAATGCTCTAAGTAATATGGACCCCAAACTCTAGAAAGGGCAAAGAAAAGATTATGGAGGTTGATGAAAATGATGAGCAGTAAAAAGATTCACCCCATTCAAATCTAACTGAGGAGCTCAATCATATTAAAAAAATTGTGGGGTCTATAAAAGACATTGTAAGTTTAACAGTTGGAAGGATGGTGTGCATGGAACAAAGGAAGAATAAATCGTATACCTATATAAAGAAGAGAGATAACCTTTTCTTGAGCGTTTAAATCACTCAACGCAACCATTGCATCCAATTTCCCAATTTTCCTAGATATTATTAATATATCCTTAGCTGTTTCTGATTTTGAGCAAGATTTCATAACCTTGTTCATTCTCTAGTGTAGGCTACTCAACAAGCTCAATAGAAAGCTCTCATTAATATTCTTGATGATTTTGAGCCATAACACACACCTCTACATTACCTTCGAACCACAACATTTGATGTTTTAACCAACCTCGAAACCTTAGTCGAATCCGTGCGTCATGTTGCTCGAGGTAGCTCTCCCATTGCACCAATGAATCAACGCCCTGTATCCCCTAAATTCAGTATCAATGAGTCAAAGGATACCAATGAAGGAAATAAAGAGGAGGAGAGGCCTGCTAAGGGGGTTGAGTAAGTGAATGAGGAAAAACAGGCAACGCTAGGATCAGAGGAACCAACAAATCCTATTGATATTGAAACGTTCAACATACATAATGTGCTCAAAGATCCTGTGGAAACAACCATTAGTGCTAGCAATGATTCCAAATAGCCGACCAATGTGGACTAATATCTCAACTTGAGCGAAGATCTAAGTCCCGAGGTGAGAGAGCATTGTCACACCCCAACTTTGGGCCTAAAAATTTTCTTAAAATTCTTCCGAGGACTAAATAGAAATTTTAACTAAATTCGGGGGGGAAAGTGAAATTTTGATTAAATTCAGATCCAAATTTTGAAAGTACCAAAAATTAGAGGACCTAGAGTTTAATTTACCCATTTTGCTTTTTGGTTGGGTTTAAACCCCCAAAATTCAACAGTTTCCATTTTTTGGAAACTCATTTTCTCTCCCTTCAACTTTTCCTCATTTAAATGGAAACCTTCAATCGTCGTTTCGTCATCGACCGTTGCTCCGTTTTTGACATCTCTCGTACCATCGTGTTCCTTGCATTATACCGAGTTCACTGGTGTCCATCTTGTCTCCGTTGTCACCGGCGTGTGAGAGGGTGAGGAAGATAAAGTTTATGATGTTTAGAAATTGAGTTCTTCGTCGTTCACCGGTGTCAGTTGAGCTTGGTAAGTGTCTCAAAACCTATTAAAAAGCTCGTAGGATTTTTTAAGAAACTTTTCGACCTCCAAGGGCTCCGTACGCGCCCCCACACACCATCGTTGCACATGGGGAATTTCCACCGCCTGTTTGGCTGCTTGATAATGGGTCGACCCGGCCCGTCTGCCCAACTCGACCCGTGTCTGACCCGATCTGACCTGACCCAAAACGAATCGATCAACCATTGACCGTTGACCATTGGCTCGCCGTTCATCATTGATCGTTCACCGTTTACCGTTCGTTGACCGTTGACCAGCATTGACTTTATTCGAAAACCTCCATCTTAACATTTTACAATGTCCTAAGTTTGATTTCACTATCCATTTTGCCAAATTCTGACCTACAAGCCCCAAATTGAGCCCATTAATCTGAAAATGCTTAGTATTTTTAGCATTTTTATTTATTTATTTGGGATTTGATTATGGAATTGATTCAGGAATATATTTTTATGAAGGTACTCGTGTTTCACCCAACTGAGGGTCGGTTAGGTTCGATGCTTCTCGTCCGTCAGATTTATATGATATGTGTTCCTCAAGAATTACTCGTAGGTATCTGTAAATTGTGTAAACAATGGTTATTATTATTCATATTAGGATTCCGATATGGATTTTCCAATTTGTAGGATCTAGTGTTGTCGCTGATCGTGATCAGAAGACTCAGTAGTAGGATTTCTTATCATACTACTCAGACTGGTACAGGTGTGTTCCCTGATGGTGTTACATTACTGTTTTAAATTGTTCATCTAAACTGTTTTAGATTTCTGATAATATTGAATATTTTTACGATGCGATACCGTATTTTTTAATACATTTTATCTGATATCTGATTTATTGTACATTTCTTATATGATCTCTAAATTTTGTATTTATGTATATGATTTATGGGTCTGGAATATTTTCATGTTTTACTAAATTAAACTATCGTTTTCACTCGAATACATACATTTTTCTTACTATCATTTGGGGTATTATTGGAGGAAGTATCTCAGGCCTAGTCTATAACTTGTGAGTCCATACTGAAGGCTCCTAGGCTTTATGCTCAGGGTAAGTCCTTACCACAGGCTCCTCAGCTTTGTGCTTTGGGTAAGTCCTTATCACAGGCTCCTCGGCTTTGTGCTCAGGGTAAATCTTTACTACAGGATCCTCGGCTTTGTACGCAGGGTTAGTCCTTACTGTATGCTCGTCTTCTTTGTGCACAGGGTAAGTCCTTACCACAGGTCCTTATGTTATGTGCATAGGCCCTTACCGGGTGTACAAGTAGGTGTATGGTTCTGGGGAACCTACACATTCTGGTGATCGGATGGGGGTAGTGTTCATATTTTTAAAACATGTTTGATAAACTGATTTTACTGAAGCATTTTATATGTATGTTTTTATACACTATAAAGAGCACACTGGGATTTTTAGCTCATTCTGTAAATTTTAACCATTTTAAATAGTAGCAGACCGTAGGGTAGCAGACTTGGCATCAAGAGGACCGACAACTCCTAATTTTGTACACTATATATCTCTATGTCTTTTTCTAATACTTTGGTGACACTTGTTTTTTCTACCCTCTCAATGTATTTGTATTACCAGTATTTTACTCTATATATGTTTTATACGATTTTCTGATATATTGTATAATACTATTATATGGATTTTAACGTTGTTTTAAATATGAAAAGAAATTTTGAATACGATATGTAGCCGCCTAGATTTGGGCATAATGTCCAAGCCGGGTCTAAGGGTTTACAGTTGGTGGGATAAGAGCCATTATTTTTAAACACTCATACTGTGGATGAGTCCAAAAATCTAGATTTTCAAGATATTTTTGATATTTTCAAAAAATCGTGTCATCTTATTTTATGAGTTTAAATATATTTGATATTATTAATGTCATTCTAACTTAGGTTCAAATTCTTTCTGTAGAGCCTTGTATATTTATCCGATGAGTGCTACTAGAGGTCGTAGGCCAGGCTGTGGTTGTGGTCGAGGGCAAATGACTCGATATTCTATTGTTATAGATGATTCGATGTCACCTCGAGATCCTTCTATTCTGCATGTAAATCCACCTATTCCCAGAGATGATCTAGTTAACCTACGAGAGACCCTCCTGTCACTGAGGATGAGGACACTGATATGGATGAGGATGCCATTAATAGGGTTGTATTTCATATGTTTAGGAGAACTTCTAGAGTCCTGGTAATATGTATACGGTCGAGATTTTGAAGTCTTTGGTAGCTGCTGGAGTAGTTTTGTTCGAGGGAATTACTGGTGGACCTCCGACTGAAACTGAGTATTAGTTGGAGGATACAAAGAG